CTTCTCCTTTTCTTCCCTTTCCTCTGTCTATTGCTGAAACCCCCAACTTTCTCCTCTTCCTTTCACAAGAAGCTTGGCCGAATCAGCACATAAGGCTTTCTACTATAAAAATACGTAAATACTTAAAATGATCACACGAGCATAAGCAAGATGCCCTTTAAGATATTGGGACTTGTACTTGACATGAAGCAGGAAAATACAGCTTTATATTTATCCTGTGAATGGGAAACCCAATCATGTATGATATTGGATGGGGCTTGGCCATGCCAATGATGACAGGTTCTGTACTGACCTTCCTGAGGTTTCTGTTGCTTGAGCACCTATGATCATTATGTCTACAGTGACAACTCATAGGTACTAAATTTTCGAATGCATTTTATAGTGATGAATGCTAAAACTTCCTTTTGTTCTTTGTTATATTTTTTCTAATCTTCATGTAACAGTTTCCAACTTACCAATTTTTTTTACTATGTATTTCTGTAGTACTAGACATTCTTTTATCAGTAATAGAACAAATCATTAAAATGTATAGAGTATTGACCCCATATACAAGAAGAGGAAAAACAATTAACTTGGAACCTATATATGCAACACTGGACCTTCATTCTTATCAAAATATATTAAGTCAACCTCACTGAACTCACTAAGAATTTAAACTCAACAATTCCAACCTGTACACATATTATAAGCATAGTTTTCAAGGCGCCAAGGCGAGGCTAGGCGACACGGGGCGCCTTGTTGCCTAGTTGCCTAGGAGATGGATTTTTTTAAGTAAAAACATGTATCCTATGGTAGTTCCCTAGGTTCCATAATCATATTTCCTTAATAAACATTCATAATTTTCATAAGAAAAGTATAAACTTCATGTTAGAGTATAGAAAATCAACATATTCCAACATATTCATTAGAAGAAAAAGAAGAAAGAAAAGAAAATTAAAAAAAATATAGGGGCTGAACCCCTATTTCTGTGATAGGAAAAGGAGAAAAGAAAAGGTGGAAGAAGAAGAAGAAATTAGTATATAAACACACAAAATTAGTAAAGAAAAATAAGAAAATGTGTTGATTGGACAACATTTTATGTTCTTCCTTGCTTATTGGTTCAGGTTTTGAAGTCTTTGAGGGTTCAATACAGCATTTAGCAATGTTTGTGTTGATTAAACCTTAACAAGTAAGAAAATAATAAAAAGAAATTAGTATATAAACACACAAAATGAATATTTTAGTTTAAAAATGTCTATTTTATAATTATAACCTCAAAAAATTAAGAATATGAAAGTTTTTTATAACATGCTATAGATAACTACTTGGCGATTAGGTGAGGTGAGCCTCCAAGGGCGCCTGCCTAGGCATCACCTTGACAACTATATTATAAGTCAAGTAAGCATTTTTAAGAAGTATCATCTGTATATTTATTGTTGAAGGCTATGAAGGACTACCTTACCTCAAGTTCTTCACTTTCTAGAGTACCTAACTTTACGGTTTTACCTGAAGCTTTAGTAACAATGGACTGTTACATGGGACTTGGCAGTTTGAACTGTTGCAGTAATGCAACACTGCTCTTTTCTCAAGCAGTCAAGCTCATTGAAAATCTTGCTATTTTTTCTTAGGATGCTAATGAAAGGGTGGAGTTATCAAAGCGGGAAAAGGAAGAAATATTGAGTAAGCTTTCACAAGCTGAAAGGATGCTATCAGAAGGAAAATATACAGTGCAGAAGCTTGAGGAAGACAATACAAAATTACGTCGTGCGCTTGAGCAGAGTATGACAAGGCTTAATAGGATGTCAATGGATTCAGATTATTTTGTTGACAGGTTAGTTTGAATATGTTAATTATAATTACGATATGGGGCCAATATCTAAGAAAATGGAAGTTAAAGTGTCAAATCCATACTCTTCTCTTAGTTTATAGGCCTTGTTAGCAGTTGGATTTTCACAAATCCACATTAACTCAGCCCAATTCTGGGGGCCTAAAATGTTGCAGCAGTAAATCTAAGTCTTATTGAGTTGAGCCCAAGGACCACAAAGTTCAGCTCATTCCAAAAGGCTCAATCAATCAGCTGTCAACAAGTGGACCCACATGATTTGGATTTGATTTTCCCGATCAAATTTTTTCTAAATTGAAATTTAATTTACCTCAGGTGTTCAGCCTTTTACTACTTTCATATTCTTATCCTAATTCTTATTGGAGAAACTGGGAAATACATAGTTCTAATGGTAATGAATGGCTAATACCATTGGCAGGCGTATTGTGATCAAGTTACTGGTGACATATTTTCAGAGAAATCACAGCAAAGAGGTAAAATATTTCCTTTACTCCATCTGTGTGTGCTGGGGAATAGGTTCCAAGATGTGAGGATGGGAAAAAGAAAATGCCCTCTCTCTTCCGTACAGGAAACATGAACGTGGTTGAGGCTTACCATAGAATGATCTTATCCAAAATTCTTATGTGTGGTTTTGGGCATTGTTTTGAAAACTGGACCTAGCATTTAACTGGATGAATTTGGCGTTTCCTGGCTTAGCCATGTGGTTGCCAGTGAAGTCTGGTTTCCAAAACTTTCTTTGAGCAATCAGGCTTAAAGTTCTTTTTTTAATTATTATTATTTGGGGAGGAGGAGAGAAAAAGAAGAAATGCATGACAAATGGTTCTCAAAACAAGTCCCGATATTGGATAATTAAGATTTATCAATCAGGTCAGTTATTGAAGTTGGATTTGCATTACTACCTTCAGTAGTTCTTGTAACTTTTATTCCTATTACCATCAATCAATTCCTTTTTTTCCATCAGTCCATCACTCCTACATTGTCTCTGAATCAACTGGTCCTTCATAATGCCCATGGGATAGATCATGTATAATGGAAGCAGGGCATATGGATTTTTCCCATTCCCCATCTTGATGTTTCTAGCCTCACCAATCTTAGAGATGATATTGATATCCTACTTGAGACATACATGAACTGATTGTCAATATAATCACTAGGTTCTGGATCTTATGGTTCGTATGCTGGGATTCTCTGAAGAAGACAAGCAAAGAATAGGTGTTGCTCAGCAAGGTGCAGGTAAAGGTGTTGTTCGGGGTGTCTTGGGTCTTCCAGGACGCTTAGTTGGTGGCATCTTGGGAGGAAGCTCGCCTGAAGTACCTGGTCATGTTCCATCTGAAAACCAGGTATATTTCTTATTATTGCTCCAATTTTATGCTATGCTCCTCCAGTTCTTGTTGAAATGCATTTTTCCCTTGTTATGTTGTCAGTTTATAGTTCATAACCTATCAAATTCAACTATTCAGTTTTGTGGTAGTAAATCTAGCTATAAGAGAGTAGCCTTACATAAGTACACAATCCGGCCAACCCAGGACGGGACCTGGGTCAGTTCGATCCATTTTACTAATTAAATTTAAGTGATGAACATTCCAGCACAATAACAAAATTAATATGTGCACAACTAAGGGATGAATACTCTAGAACAAAGGGTAAAACAGGAAATAACAATTCACAGGAAAACTCTGGAAAGAGATTTAATCACATGCTTTAAATGTGTAAGAAGAACCTTCCAGAATAAAAGGGTAAAAAGGAAAAAACGCAATAATAACTCAGGAAACTTTGGAATGTGCACCCAAAACCTATAAATAGATGCTTCTCATCCATTTCAAAGGACTTCTGGGACCTCATCCTCCACCCGTGAATTGCCATTGCTCTCATCTCTCCCTTCCATCTCAACCATTCTCCATCTCCCATACAGCCATCTTTCATCTCGTTGCTGGAATTCCAGATCTGGCGAACTACATTGGCCTGATCCCTCGCCAAGGGTATGTAGGAAGCCCATCTGGGGGTCTGCCCACTGTCTTTCCTTCCCTTCCTTTCTCCTTTCAGTTCTGCAACTCAAACCCCTTCCTTAGACCTCAGAGTATAGACCACCCGGCACCACCTGTCCACCGCCTTACACTAGCAAGATCACATTGACTGAAGGATCAACCTATTGATGTAGCATATACACTTTTCATCTGGAGTATATAACCAGTGAGTACCACTTGTTAGATGTCCTAGTCTGAAATCCATTTTACAGAAAAAAAATGTGGCCTTGCCTTTTCCCTGTTCACTTTTTAACAATACTGTTTAATCTGGGTTGTGGGTATTGGTTTCTCCATTTCTATTTGTTTTCGCTTTCCCCCCTTCTTGGGAGCCCACCATCTTGTTTTTCCGTCACTTCCAAATTGTCAGATATCCTGACCTTGAATTTTTTTTTCCATGTATTCATAAAATTCCAACCTTTCCACATGTAATCGTGTCATTTTTTTTTTCTGAGTTGTCTGTTTCTATTGCAGTCCTTTACAGATCTTTGGGTTGATTTTCTTCTCAAAGAAACGGAGAGAAGAGAATCTGTGGAAGCCACCGGGGGATCCAAGGCTGATCCACATGGAAGAAGTCCGAGCACCACACATGTTATCACACCAATGCCCAACCAGAGGTCAAGCACATCTAGTTCTGCTTCTCGTCCCTTGAGGGTACATCAATCCCTGGATCAGACCCCAGATCCCATTTCCTCGAGGGGAAACCCGCTGCTGATTGAACATTCCGACTCTGAGTTTTCAACGGTTCCTCTCACGACGTCGATTTCTCCATCGCCAGAAAACGGTTCTCGAATCTCAAGGCTGCTCCCAAGATATTAAAATGAGGCGACATTATACATCTTGTTTTTCTTTGGGTGGGTAACCTGAAATCATGTAATTAATCAGGGGTACAGATTCTTTGTGGATGTTCTGTAATTCTTTCTTTTGCCTTCATCAATTATTTATACCATTTGTTCAGATCCAGAAGACAAACAACAGTGTCTTGTATTGGTTATCTTGTATCGCTCTTTTTGCAAGAAATCGGATTTTTAGCATCAAATAGTACTTCTACTACAGCTAGCCATCATAAGTTCATAACACTAACTATCAGTATGCCATAGCTGCTATTTTGTGTTTTATTTTTTTTCTTGGTAAAAGCTGCTGTTATTCTTTTGCATGTAAATAACAACATTAATGATGCTTGTTGCCTCTACAATAACTATTCTCAAGGATCAAAATTTTAAATTTCAGAACGCACTGGATATGATCATCATACGTTGTTTTAAGTTTTTTTTTCTTTTAATCTTTGTTTTAAATGTTAAATAAGCATTATTTCCACCCCCTCTCAAATTTTGAAAAAAAATTAAAAACAAAAGTGCTTGGTTCAACATTTGGAACACTGGTCGTGCATTAAACGTCATTTGGATGCCCCATCTTTAACAAGACAAAGTCACAAAACCCTCCAAAATCAAAATTATTTGGAGGACATAAAATCATTCGATATGGTTAAAGTAAGCATAGTTTTTTTTTTTTTGGAAAGTCCGAAGGCAAATTCATTCATCAATCAATGAGTTCACCTCACGAGAAATTACATTGAGTAGAAAAGAGGGAGTTGAGGACCATGTGATAGTTCTGTTACAGGTTAATTAAACTTCAAAGCAAATTTAGCTAGTAAATGAGAGAGCGGTGAAAAAAAGCCAATCAATGAGAGAACGGTAAGCTGCTTCGCTTCCACAGTCTTGACGTGTAGGAGAGATCCAAATCATACAACACGGCTAGCATCACAATACAGAAATAAGTGCTCAAGCATTTCAGCATTTGGTGAGGAAGGAGAACAATGAGGACCAATGTGAGAAAAAGTTTGATGTTAGGAGGAAGGCACCTGTATCTCCAGAATTGTCTCCAACTCCATGTTGAATTGATTTGGGAGGAAGTAGAAGATGTTGAAGCATCACTTTCATTAAGCATTTTAAGACCTGAAGATGTGGTATGTGATGATCCATGGGGGGTACCATGCCAAACAAGGCGATCTTGAGAATGAACACCGGGCCGCGACAATCGGATGGAGCATACTTGTTGAAGCTGATATGGGTCCCATAATGTGGAGAGGAATTGCTGATTCCAGATCATCTCATCGTGATTTATCAGATTTGCCACTCTTAGTGGGTTAGATGGAATTGCTAGAGTTGGGTTAGATGTTTATTATATGGAATCCAAGGGGTGTTATAGGCATCTACACTATCCATCCAGCCATCCATCACTGATAATCCAATGACATCCAGTTTGCAGCAACTCCCGACAGTGAAGCATGCTAGCCCAAATAGAAAATTTCACCCAAAGAGCATTTTCGGTTCAGTCAAGAAATTCCAACACAGTTTCATAACTGAAGCCACATTTCTACGGTGTGCATCACTGAAGGCTAACCCCTAATCCTCAGGCTGTAAGTGGAATTTTTTCGTGCCATTGAGGTCCCCCACCAGAATCTACTGCACATTGAGTTGAGAGGGAAGAGCATACCGTTTTTGCTTTTTGGTACAAGCTGAGTTTGCATGTGAAAAAGAGCACACTCTCGAGTGTGGATTTGATCAGTGTTGTTCGTCCAACCTGAGATAAAGTTTAGTTTCCACTATTGTAATTTCATGTTAACCTTGTCTATAAAAAATTTCCACCCTTTAACCTTCAAGGCCCACCCAAATATTTATCGTTTTTAGACATTAATTTCACACCAAAAGCATTGGAAATCCGTTGATGAATTGAGTGTTTGCACTGAAATATATTGATGATTTTTGAAAGTTAACTTGTTGTCTCGACCAAGTAGTTCATTAATAATTTGTTTTTATAGTAAAATGCAATATTTTCAACCCGACATCGGTCGAACCATTCGAACCGTCACCATTCACCAAAGCCTCCATGAACATTAACTCACAAACTTCCATCAGAGGATCCAATAGATTTTGAAGTATGCATGAGAAATGACCTAGACGTCCGCTAGAGTCAGAGAATAATAAGCCTTAATTATTATTAGGTCTGGTAACAGGATTGGTCTTTTGTGTAGAACTAAGATGATAACCATGAATATGCTCAGGAAATGTAAAGTGTGAACTTACTAAAATACAGTTTAGAAATGTTAGGAAACCGTCTCTTAATCAGAAACACTGATTAGTTGTTAGAAAAATGAGTACGAAGGAAAGGTCTAAGTTTGTTTGACAACCCAAAAGGCCAAAATGAGATATATATATTTTGAGTTGCTTTTGCTTTGCTGTTTGCAAGTCAATAAATAGTCCAAGGATGGGAGTAGTTGGTGCTTATGATGCTTCTCTACCCTGTCAAGCTTCAACGTCGACAGCAACGACCTGGACTCAACCGCTGCTTCATCCGTAATATCCTCTCCGGCGCTTCCACCTCCGCTCCGACGTTGGCCTCCCTCTTGAAGGAATGCAACTCTTTATCCGATGCCCAGCTTATCCATCAGCAAATCCTCGTCAGGGGCCTCACAGACATCGACGTCTCAAGGGACATCATCAGGGTGTACATTGCCTGCGACGCTCCAATCCCTGCCCTCTCTGTACTCCAACGCCTCCCACCATCCGATCCCTTCTGGTGGAACGCTCTCATCAGGCGAGATGTACGGCTTGGGTTCCTCGACCACGCCCTTCATCTTTTTCGCCGGATGCTCAGATTGGGATGGAAGCCTGACCAATACACCTACCCTTTCGTCATCAAAGCATGTGGTGATCTCCCTTCATTCCGTCGGGGGGCCGCTCTCCACGCTTTCGTCTGCGGTAATGGGTTCGAGTCCAATGTCTTTGTCTGCAATGCCTTGGTGGCGATGTACAGCCGTTGTGGTGCTTTGGAGGAAGCACGCCAAGTGTTTGACGAGGTGACCCAGAGAGAGATAGACGATGTGGTTTCCTGGAATTCGATTGTTACTGCTTATGTGCAGGGCTCTGATCCAACCAAAGCATTGGAAATGTTCACTCGAATGCCTCAGGATGTTAAGTTGCGGCCCGATGCTGTGAGCCTTGTTAATATCCTTAAAGCTTGTGCTTCTGTGGGAGCACCGATGCAAGGTAAGCAAGCGCACGGTTTCTCCTTGCGAGTTGATCATTTCGGGGATGTATTTGTGGGCAATGCTGTAGTTGACATGTACGCCAAGTGTGGGATGATGGGTAAAGCAAAAATGGTATTTGAGCGCATGGAGATTAAAGATGTGGTGTCCTGGAATGCTATGGTCACTGGGTATGCTCAGAGCGGAAGCTTTGCAGATGCTCTGCATCTGTTTGAAAAAATGCGTAAAGAGAAGATCGAATTGAATGTGGTCACGTGGAGCGCGGTGATTTCTGGTTATGCCCAGAGGGGGCGTGGTTATGAAGCGCTGGACGTGTTCCGGCAAATGCTGCTCTCAGGTTCGGTGCCCAATGTGGTGACACTGTCCTCCCTTCTGTCGGGCTGCGCTGCTGTTGGAGCGCTGCGTCAGGGGAAGGAGACTCATGGTTATGCCATCAGATGCGTCCTCAATCGAGATGACAATGATCCTGGTGATGATCTTATGGTGAACAATGCTCTGATTGACATGTATGTTAAGTGCAAGGACGCCAAAGACGCCCATGCCATCTTTGAATCAATTTCACCGCAAGAGAGGAATGTGGTGACGTGGACAGTCATGATTGGTGGTTATGCTCAGCATGGGGACGCCAACGACGCATTGAAACTTTTTACCGTGATGCTCTCTGGAGCAAACGCCATGGTTCCCAATGCTTTTACCATATCCTGCAGTCTGGTGGCTTGTGCTCGTTTGGGTGCACTACGATCTGGTAAACAAATCCATGCTTATGTAATACGTAATCGCTATGAGTCTGTGATGCTGTTTGTCGCCAATTGCCTCATAGAAATGTATTCCAAATCTGGAGATATTGATGCAGCTCGATGTGTCTTTGATCATATGAACCAGAGGAATGCCGTGTCCTGGACATCCTTAATGACAGGATATGGGATGCACGGGCAAGGGGAGGAAGCACTCAAGATTTTTCATAGAATGCAGGAAGCAGGTCTTGTGCCTGACGGTGTCACATTCCTTGTTGTGCTTTATGCCTGCAGCCATGCCGGAATGGTTGATCAAGGGATTCAATACTTTAACCGCATGGGCAGGGATTATAATGTGGCCGCTGGTGCAGAGCATTATGCCTGCATGGTTGATCTTTTAGGCCGTGCTGGTCGCTTGGATGAAGCTATGGAATTGATCAAGGGCATGCCAATGGAACCAACCCCAATTGTGTGGGTGGCATTGCTCAGTGCTTGCAGGATTCATGCCAATGTAGAGCTTGCAGAATTTGCTACAGGGCGACTGCATGAATTGGAATCGGATAATGATGGATCATACACATTGCTTTCAAACATATATGCCAATGCTGGGCGCTGGAAAGATGTGGCTAGGATTAGGTCATTGATGAAGAAAACGGGGATTAAGAAGAGACCAGGGTGTAGTTGGGTCCAAGGAAAGAATGGGATTGCTACTTTCTACGTGGGTGACAGGTCTCACCCTGAATCCCAACAGATATACGAGGTCCTCGCAGACATGATCCGACGCATTAAAGACATGGGTTATGTACCTGAGACTAGCTTTGCCCTTCACGATGTGGACGATGAGGAGAAAGGTGATTTGCTGATGGAGCATAGTGAGAAGTTGGCACTTGCATATGCAATCCTAACTTCAGCTCCAGGAGCACCCATTCGGATAACCAAGAACCTCCGTGTCTGTGGTGATTGCCACAGCGCCATGACATTCATTTCAAGGGTCGTAGAACATGAGATCATAGTGCGGGACTCTAGTCGCTTCCATCATTTTAAGAATGGGTCATGCTCCTGCAAAGGCTACTGGTGATTATATTATCACCAGCCGGTGATGCATTGCACGTTTGCACTTGGTTCAAGACACTAGAGCCCGGGGGAGGCGTTTTTATGGATTGATCTTGCGCCAAAAGGAGCAGCACCATCTTCTGTAGTTGATCACTATTCACGATTGCAGGAAAAAAGAAAAAGAGCAAAGTTCAGCACCTTATGCATCATACCACTGGGTGAGAATGAGATCTTCACAAGATGGGGCTGCTCAACAATAAGTCGTTATCTTAATAGGAAATTTTCTTTTTTTTTTTTCTTTTTTAAGAGCTGAAATATTGTGCAGACGGAACATTAACTGAGTCAGTGGACTCGTCTCATGGACAGAGGAGAAATCAGCTACTTCCGTTTGGAGTAGCGCTGGGCTAAATCCGTGAGAAATCAGCAGGTTACAGGTCAGAAACTAATTCTCTTTTTCTATTTTTTTTAGTGGTTTTCATTATTGATGATAATGAATTTTCACACATTTATTTATGTATATGATGAATATTTATGAGCCAAAAAAAAAAAGAGGTACATGCCTAATTGCAAGAAAGGACTCATCTTAAGCCTTAAATCTCTGAGACGGTGGGATCCAGCAAGTAAAAGGAATTGGGCTACGCCAGCAAGTAAAGGAATGAAAATGAACTATTAAATTTCAAATTAATCACTTTCCCTTTTTTTTTTGAAAAAAAACTGTATCAGCCAGCGGAGTCCTGACATATGTGACCCGGGGATTACCAGCTAGATCTTGGAACATTAATTACTAATTCACTCTTCATGGCTTCTCGACTCTCCCGACCGAACTACATATATTAGGGACTTATTTGAAATTGAAACTGAAGGAACCAAGTAAAATAAAGCGACGACTACTTCACATTTGTTGGGATAAGCTTAAACCATTGAATTTGAGGATTGTCGGAACAATTAGAGTCATCTTCCAAGCAAAGGCAGCTCTTGGTCAAAATTGTAGTGTTGGAACCATTGTTCTCTAGGCACAGTGGTCTTCCCTCTGGATCCGAGGCAGCTAAATGGAGCATAGAACTCGAAACCGCTTTCCAAATGCTCTGTTGGCTACTGCACTCAGTCGAGAGAATCACCGGAAGCCCGTCCCCGGCAGCTTTCAAACAAAGAGATGTACCCATCAGCCTAATTGGAGTACCATCCCCAGCATAATCCCATCGGCTCCGATTCACACAATCCTGAGTTTCGACGTTGTTGTTCCCTTGCACCAAGACACAGCGCCCGCTCCATGAGTGATACATAACGTAGTGTTTTGGAAAATCGGATCCTGGATCTGCACAAACTGAGGGGTGTTAGATGTTTTCTAGTGTTGAGTACAGAAAGACAGAGGATGAGAGGACGGACTGAAGGAGACGACATGCCTTGCATCAAATTCTGAATGAGACGAAACCTCTCTTGAAATTTTGGGTTCCTGGGTTGGTCCCAACTAGCGTCCAGAACACCATAGGTTTCCTCAAACCCAGCACGCCCGTTCCTGAGGTAGTAGCTCCCCTGCAAAGCCCACATGGCCCAATCCAAATCTCTCTCCGCGGCAAAAGCAAGAAAGCAGCTCAAGAATCGATTGTCAGCCCGATTGACACCTCTCTGGTCCACACCAAATTCACTCACGAACAACGGGACTGGATTCTTAGACCGCATCACAAAACCGGCTGCACCATCGAACCTCCTAATTGCATTGGCACAGACTGGACTCGGCTGCTGCATCTCCCATTGTCGCCTATCGTCGCTGAACGAGTACCAATGTGCCTCGTAGACCAACTTGTTGTTGAAGTTCACCCCTAGAGACTTCCTCCCTAAGAAGCTCAAATCGGTGTCATAACTCAACCCGGAAACAATCACTAGCAAATCTGGGTTCATCTTGTGAATCTTTCTGGCTCCCAGTTGGATGTAACGGAACCAATCCTGCTCGTTCTGACGAGGCCCACGTAGTTCATTGCGCATGCTCATCCCCACCACCTGCGTTTGATAATTCATTACCAAAACATGAATTTAACTTCCAAACATTCGACAAACAAAAGAGTCAGAGATACATCACTGCAAATTAACACCTGAGGTCTTCCCTTAAATCGCTTAGCTACCCTGCCTAAACCTTCAACCCATTCATCTGGGTTGAAATATGCATCTCCAAAGAAGCCATTGCCGTCGTTGCTGCCACAGCACCACTTGGGGAGGCTAACGTGGTTATCGAGCACCACCATGAGTCCGGCTGCACCGAGTTCGTTTATCACAGTGCCATAAGCTTGGACCACGGTAAGATTCAAGAGAGAAGGATTGTTTCGTGCTACTCCTGCCTTTGCCTCTGTGAGGCCCATAGAGTCGAGTGATTCAGCAACGGTTCGTTGTGCAGCACGTGTTCGGGTGAACATATAGGTCGCCCATGTGAGGCGGACGCAATTGAAGCCTAATGAAGATACTAGACCGACTATGTCTCGTAATGGCTTCTTGTCCAGCCCTTCTGCTAACATGGGTTGCATGTGTGCAACCCAATTCACACAGCCCAGTTTTACACGACGATTTGATGCTACATCCACAAGCCATCTACCGCTTGTTGAGAGCGGCAGTGAATGAACGAGGGAAGCAAATAACAGGAAAGATGGGATTAACAGGATGCTTTGCAACGGCTTTCCTAGCATTTTTTTTTTTCAAGTGAAATGAAATAGGATCATCGTTCTACTTCTACAATTACATAATATAACCAACCTTCTAGCTACAGATACATGAAAGTGGAATTGTTCACCTAATAGCACTGACAACAACATTTTAATAACTGGACTAGTAACGAAAGTATGTGTTTCTAGTGTACCTAATTTCAGTCAAAACTGTTTGGATGAACTGACTTCATGCCAATAGAGGTGGTCAAATAATGGTAATATACTAATACGACGTGTTTGGGGAGGGTCACTGATGATCGAAAATACATTCTTTAATATATATATATATATATAAACCCGATCCCTTCCTTCAATTCCGACCCTAATGGCTAATCCCATATTCCCATTGGAGTGAGTTTTAGTTGGGCTAGCCCACACTTGCTGCTCAAAGAGTGAAAAAAAAAGTAGAGAATTCATTCCCAAATCACTTGCAATCTTGCACACACAGATTGATGACTAAGGCTCTGTTAGTTTGCCGTGCAAATTTCATTGACATTGGTGTGAAATTGTAAATTCATGGTAGTGTTACTAGTTTATTTTTGCTTATAAGATAACAGGCAAAATTGGAAATAAAATGACGTGATGTTCACCTTATATGGCGTGGATTTAATTAATAATTAGCGTCAGTTTTTGGTAGGCAAAATTTGGATTGCTAACTAATACAAATCAAACAAAGTATGACTCTCAGTTATAATGTTTTTTTTTTTTTCTTTTTTTCAACTGATGGTAGGTTAGTTGATAGGATCTCTGACTCCGAGTAAAGACACTGGGATCAAATTCCTCTGCCACCAGGGTTGCTGGGGTTAAGGGGAGGGGGACTTTTTTTTTTGAAGAAGAAGAAGAAGAAGAAAAGAGGGGATGGTCTAGCCCATTGTGTAACCCCATTATTAATCAGGTCATAATCAGACCCGACAATCCGATTACAAAGCCTAGAACAAGGTCTAGTTCAAAATTGTTTCTGAACATTTACTTATTGACATCAGCACCCCACTGCAAATCTCAATCATGTATTGGGAATGTGTGGGGCGCTGATGTGAACTCTTACTTATTGGGTCAAGACAGGGTCTGCCCTTGACCCGAACTCGACTTGATCGGTTGACAGCACGACATACAACACCAACACATGCCCCTTCTCATAAAGAAAGGCAAAAGAGGAAAAAAAAGTGATAACTTGTTTTAAATTCATGGCCTACTTACTTTTGCTTATATTTTTATATTTCACTTTCATTAAGCCCGTCAAGTTGCTTTTGATCCATATACTTATTTCTTGTTATTTCATTATCTTCCCTTGTTTAAAAGCTTCTGAATTCAAACACCACCATCTCAGTTGAGTTTAGTTATTGGGCCACAACTATTAATATAAGATGGTCTCAAACATTTAGGCAGAACATGACTTGGGCTTGAAAAACTCCAGAAACATTTTCTTTAATCTTCATCTTTACAAATTGTGGGGTTGTAAAGTATAGATTTTCCTAGTTCCTGATGAAAACTGGAAAGCAAAAAGTGTGTATTTTACCAAGTGTCCTGGGTTTTGTATGGGTCCCATTTGACAGAAAGTACCAGGGCAAAGTAAAAGGTCACATTCATTTCTATTTTATTTTTTTTTATTAAAGGGGATATATTGGAAATAAAAAGTTAAGGATACAAAAGAAGACCTTTCATACTGAGATACGAGTTATGCCCAGGAGGGAGGGGTCTAGGAGTTTTATTTACAATGGCCCTTTTTGCTATATCATGAGTAGGGCCCACATCATTTCTGTTTACAAAGTGGGACACAATTACAATGGCCCTAAATCTTGCCTTTACTGAAAAAGTAAACAAAGTGGGAAACATACTTCAGCTCGGAAGGAAACAGGGTAACAGCTCTTAATGCATGTTGTAATTTAACCGAATGTATATATATATATATATATATATATATATAATATATAGAAACTATGTGACATATATTAAAAATATATATTTTTATATACATATAAACATATATACCAGTCGGTTCAGTTAATCACTAAATTTTTAGGTTAACTAAAAACTGAACCAATCCTTCGGTTTTTCAAAAATACCAACTGAAACTGAACTGATCTATTCAGTTAACCGCATTTTCTGGTTTGGTTTTCTCAATTCGGTTCGTTTTTTCAAATTTTTATGGACACTCCTAGCAGACATCACTATCATGTTACATATGTGATCATGGAGTATATAACAATGTCTTAGTATTTAGTTTCTTTCTTTTTTTTTTCTTTGGTATTTGGTGCCACACAACACTAATAATCTCCTTTTCCCCAAATCAATAGTTGTAGGAATCGATTAATGCTGGAAAAAATCAGCTGACATACGAAAGAGCCACCCCTCAGTTAGTTACTTGGGGCTTGTTTGTTTTCTATCTCTAATCTCTTATCTTACCACTTTTTGTTTTTTGATGATACCCTCAAAGCACAAAGAAAAAAGAAATCTAATATAATGGATTCAAATGGATATTTGACAATTTTCAGAATTCAGAATTCAAAACAACATTCTCTGCATTCAGAATTCAAAGGAAAGAAATGTTCATCAATACCAATATATCTCTTAATGTAGGGTCCATTTGGTGCGTCTTTCCGTGCGGTCTTTCAGCTGTTTACAAGCTAGGCAGACTGATTTTTGGTCTATTTCCGTTTGACATGCAGAAGACTTAGCCGCCAAAAGCCAGAACGTTGAAAAGACGTGAAAATCCCATTTTGGGATGATTTCAGGAAACTTCAAATGAAACTTTTCGCATCTTTCGCATTTTATTCTCACACGAAAAGACATAGAAAGACATGCATCTGTCAAACGTATTTCGGACTGCTCAAATCTTCATACAAAAGCTCAATGCATATTTTGATCGTCATATAACTGCCAAAAAATCTTCCCAAAAAGACACACCAAACAGACCTGTAATTAGGCACAAAGATCTTCCATATAATTGGGCTTAAAACTGCAAATATAATAGTGTAATACATTAGTAGGATATTGTACGATTCGCTGGAGAAAGGGGTCCAAAGTGATTGATTAATTGTTTATGATATGAGGTAACGTGTGGGTTGAGATGTTTCAATTTTCAAACCGAAATGATATAACCAACTCACTAGAATTCCATTGGCCTTTGCCCTATGATATGAGTTGTGGCCTAGAGTCTCACCATTATTGAATTTGAACGATACCAAGATGATGATGATGATGATATGATCCTTTTAACCTCCTTTTTTGCCTTTGCAATTTGCATGGAATCCATGTCACTCATGGGAGCTGAGACTATAAGAGATATTGTGCGTGTAGGATCGTCTCTTTAGCCACCCTCTACATTGATTTGTCAGATACAGACGTGAATCGAAAGTGAGGTCCAGTCTCACCATCATTATTCACAGCTCATAAATTAATTTTTGAAAAATAATCTACACCCTCTCACTTATGCAATATCTTAAACTCTCATGGTTTTTAAAATCGATTTGGTGATCGAACCGTTCTAATAAGAAAATAAAAAAAAAACAGTCAAAACCATTCGAATGGTTTGAACGGTTAACTGTCCAGTTCAGCGGTTCATTGATCAAAATCAACAGTTTTGGGAGAAAATTCGGTTCTTGGAGAAAACAGAACCGGTCACCTGACTGGTTCCCAGTTTTTCCGGTCCGGTTTTAAAAACCATGTTCTCTCTTGTTCAAACCTAAAAAAAACTGTCATAATTCACATTTTCATTTATTTATATACTATATAAAATGGATACTTGATTTGATTTTGACACAAGTTAAATTTGATTATATAATAGGGTAAATTGCTGAAAATTGCCCGGAGCTGAAATCTCTCTTAAAGTTTGACAATTACAATTAACTTTCCTGAACTTTCTGACATATTTGTAAGTAGACCCCTTCTGTTAAAGTCCTTTAAAAAGAGATACGAAAATATACAAAATATCCATGTAGTTAGTTTGGTTTCTTTTGTGAAATTGATTTATCTTTCAAAATTGCCTCTCATATCAACATCTTTTTAAAGAATTCTAATAAAAAAAGTCTAGTTACAACTGTATCAAAAAGCTTAAGAGAGGTGGTTGTCATTACTGAACTTCAGGGAAAGTTTTAACAATAGCCCAAAACTTGAGAAGAGGCTTCAACAATTTACCCTAATTATTAACTGATATATTTACCCCACAACAACCCCTGCAGTAATTTTTATAAATAGGGCAGAAAGTATATATTAATTCCTTTATTGTTGATATTAAGGAGCAGTTCGACAATGGCTGAAGTTGCTAAATTAAATGATTTATTGTTGAGCCAATTCAGTGGTTATCAAATGGCTAATAAATGTGTTTGTGGTAATATCAAACTTTTAACCATATAATCAAAATGTACCTTTAATGACAAAATTAACCTTACCCATCTAATCAGTCTCCTTTGCCATTTTTGATATGACTAAAATGCCCTGGGTGTATTTATTTCTCTTATTTATTCAATCATATCCAGTTTTTCACAATCTATCCTCCTTTGGTTATATTCAAATTCTATCATCTCCACACAAAAGTTCAACCAACCGTTTTGAGTACGATGCTGACTTCTGAAGAGATGACAAGGGTCGACCAGCATAGCAAAGACAGTATCTTCGTTGTATTCATTCACTTTCTATGCTAAACAGATCTACAACATATAAAACTAACTAGTTTGGACAAATCCGTGGGAGGTGGGGAGTTTAAGAAAAAAAACAGAAAAAAGAGAATGTGGTGGTGGTGGGTCTTAGACACTGCAATATGTATATTCAAATTTATAATCTCTCTCTATCATTGCCTGAATGGAGTCCATAATCGATGCTACTAATTTGAATTCCAGCTTGGCATGACAAATGGCAATGGTGTAGCCAAGATTTGGGTGCTCTGGAAGGGATCGGGAAGTTTCTCATGACTCTCTATTTATTACTTTTGAACGAAACTAGTTGTGTCACTGACTGTTCAATTTATTGAAC